ATTCATCCTTAGTTAATTAGTTTGCTCAAAGTGTAATTGTAATAAAGTGTCACCTAGCTTAAACACTGATTCTGTCTTCAGTTGCATGTCTCGCGGCGATTAAGCTTAAGCCGCGAACGAGCAACATGCAAGGCACTCAATCGAGTGCGGTCACAGCTGACAAGCAGTTAATTTGTTAATGCACTCAAGACTGGCTCTAGCCGAGCATCATATTTCGTTCGTATTTTATCTTTTTGCTGGCTATTCTAGTCGTCTATGGCAAAGCAAATCATAATTAACTCGTACTTTTTTCAACATGCACTCTCTCACACACACACTCTCTCTCTCTCTCTCTCCCTCTGTCTAGTTTCTCTTTTAAGCAGCTTGTGGCTGGATTACATGCAGCGACTGTGAGTGCGACTGAACAATGCAACAATTTGCGCACACCTCAATACGCTGCTGCGGCGCAACGGTGGCAACGACTGCAAAAGCACAAAACTTGCGCTCAAGGCAAAAAACTGTACATGAAACAACTTAATTAGTTGTTGCGCGAGTCGAGCAAAAAGCCGCATACACTGCAAGTGCAACTGGAACGCCAGGGAGGGAATTTTCAGAAATATTTGCTCATTTCGCTTCATTAGTGCCTGGCAAGAGAATGTTTAAGGCCAAAGGGAACGGCTGCTGCTGCAAATGCAGTCAAGGCACGGCCAAACATTGAGCCCAGACCAGGCCCCAAGCGCAGCTCGTTAGACGGCGCGAGTGAGTGTTAAATTAAAAATAAAGCAACAAAAACAAAACAGAAAATACAAAAAATACAAAATTAAATATAAACTACGGCCGCAAAACGAATAGTGAATAAGGAAAAAACGAATAGCGTGTAACGTGTAACGAATAGTGAAAAAAAAAACAAGTGGTAGAAGAAGAAAACGCGTGCATTCAGCATGAATTGCAATATTGTATTAGAAATGCATTGGCTGAAACTCAAGGCTGCGACTAGAGCTCGATCCAGTTGGCGCTTCCGCACCGCAACCAACGATACCGATACGGCAAGGACTTCCACAATGCACATAACAACTTCCTCCTCGAGCGTCATCTGGCAACGCCATTTGGCACTATTCACACTCCTGCTCCTGCTCGCAGCGCACATCAATATTACTTCCGGTCAAATCGATTGGGACGACGACGATGATCCAGGTGAGTGACTCTGACTACATAAAGTTATAGAAAAGAAAAAAAAAAAAAAAAAACGAAAACAGAAATAGAAATAGCAAAGCATTCGTCGTGCGACAACAAAAGCCGAGCACTACATCCTGCACGGTTCGCTACACCTTAAGCGCCGTGATTTGCATAAATTCACAGCGAGCCAGACAATAGTTCAATGGAAGAGTTGTGCAATAAAAGTTTGGGGTAAGGCATCGAAACAAAAACGAGCGGACAGCGAACAGAAGCGCTTTGCAATTGGATTTCAGTTATGTTTTTGTAATTAAGTTATATTTGCATTACGTATACGCCCAGGCAGCCAGGAAACCAGGCGAGCTTGGGTCTTTTTAATTAATCGCAGATTTATAGCTTGAGTTTTGCAGACGGGACCGGGCGGACATATTATATGCATGTATAAATGGAATTTTAATTATTCAAAATCTACAGCTAAAATATTTAATGAATTCATAAGTCTGACAGTTTAATTGCAAGAGTTTGGCATAACTTTGCCCCGACTCTCGCTGCACGTGTGTCTGTGTGGGTGGGTGGCGGGTGGCATGGCGTCTCCTTGCAAAAAGTGGACCAAATCGCGCTGCCCCTGTGAGGCAAGTAGCTCCAAGTGAAAGTTTCGTGTTCGCAACTTGACTTCGAGCAGGTGATACTTTTATTTATTTACATTTCAATTTGCCGTGTTTGCCAGGCAAGCGATACGGCTGCAAGACAAGTCGATGACAGGACAGGAGTGAACATATACATATAGAGTATTGATTTTAAAATTGCCAGTAAATCGTGAATTCTAAATCGGTAATGTCTATTGACTTGATTAAAATAGAATTTGAATTTATTTTATTAATCAATAATAAATATTTTAATGTTGGGTGTCACCTAATAAAATATATATAAATATTATTTTTATTAACTGAGAGAAGTAGACCAAGTCTGTTTTGGTATCTGCATACATTAAAGAAAATTATATTAAAATTCGAAATCAATAACCAAACAAAAGGCTAAAAGCAACAGAGGCCCAAGTCAGCAGATTGACTCAGACGAAAGTCTCTTTGTATGAGCAATTTCTAATTAAAATATAAGTGAATAGCTCTTGCTACAGCAATGCGAAATATATGTGTATATATTTAGCCTGCCAACGGACTTGCCATTAGGTATTCAGTTTAATATAAACGCTGTCAAGCTTATTAAAGACATTTCTCTAAATAGAATATTAAATTCTTATGGCTCAATGACAAGGCATTCACACACATACACATACACATACACATGCACGTGTGCCTGTGGCTGAGAATGAAAGTTCTTTGGATGGCAAAATCACGGACATTGTCTCATTTATCGATTTTCGCCCATTGTACGCACACACTTTTAAGCTAACGATGCAAACTCAAAATGTTGACAACAAACATTTTTCAAGCTGTGCACGCGTTGTCCTTTCTGTCGCAGCCGCATTTAACATGATTGTTGTTGTTGTTGTTGTTGTTGCTGTTGACTCTGCCATGAGGTAGACCAGGCCTTGAACAAATACACAGACACACGCGCACACACACACTGACACAGCGTGTGCTGTGTGCCCCCACCGAGCCGACGAGTTGTTAGCCCGGTGGGCGCCTTGTTTAAATAGAAGCAAAATAGAAACGGCCCGCTGTGATTCCATTTTGGCTTGCCGTGCACAACACAGCAACTTTTCTTTTATTTTTTGCCTCTTTTCCGTTTGATAAATATGATTTTGCATAAATTTTGAAATACACGCTGCGCGGCGAGTCGACTCAAGCCGGGCCGGAGATAAACCGTCGCTCAGGTTCTTTCATGTGCCTCAAATCTGCAACTTGTAGAACTAACTAAGAAGGCTACAAGCCATCTAAAAAATGAAAAAATAAAAATAAAAATGAATAAAATAAAACAAAAATCAAGCCCCACTCCAAGAAACAGCAATAAAACTCATAAACTGAATGCCCGGACAGAGTATCTTGAGGTCACAGATACTCTCTACCGTTAGAGACGAGATAAAGGAGAGGATATATACGAACAAACAGCTAAATATATAAGCTAGAACCAAAAGTAGGATTACTGGAGTTATATCTTATAGAGAGTGCATTTTTGTTATATACAAATATTATTTAATTAAATAAACTATATCAATTTTTTTATAAGAGTACAGTTTTTATAAAATAAATTATCAAATTTATTTAAAAAAAAAAAAGAAACTAAACAAAATTAAAAAAATATATAAAAGAATAAAGAATGCCCAAAATGCCGTTCACCATTACAAATGACTTAATATTCATAAAAAAAAAAATAGAAAACAAAATTTCCATATGCTAATACAACCCACCCTCTGCATTAAATACGAACAGGGTATAAGGCGACGCAAACTGGCGCAAGCTATGGGTATGCCGGGCCATAAACTTCTGGCTCTCTCCGCAAACCAAAACTGTAAAATTATGAAATCATAAAAATATCTTTACGATTACATAAAAAACTTGCAAAAATGTGGGCGTGGCGTTGGCCTAGACAACAAGTGCGAGGCGTAGCGCGTTACCTTGCGTTGCCTCGGATAGTGTCGCGTCGCGTCGCGTCAAACAATTGCGTGATAGCAGAGAATTTAACTTTAGACATACGCCGCACTATGACTTCATTAATTATCAAACAGCCGAGCTTTCAAAATGGCAAAGAGCGTCGCGGCATAAAATAGTTTCAAAGCCAGCCCGAAACAGAGGAGGCAAAAAAAAGCCAGAAATGTAGCCGAGCTCAGGTGGGGGCAAATGAGGCTAAAAACTCAACGCCATATATTCTAATTACGCATGTCGCCGGGCAAAAACCACATTTGAAGGATTCCACACGGATACAAATACATACACACACATGTGTGTGTGTGGGGAATGTTAGATGTTAAGCACTGCGGCTTTAACCCTTATTAGCCGCTGCTTCCTTTTGGCCATAATTCATGCTGTTTTCATTTGTTTTGATTAGCAAATGAATACATCCAGCTCTCCAGTTGGCACTCGACTTTCGGTTTTAGCTTGGCCAGCGAATCGTAATCATAACGTGACTCGAGTAGGGCAATAAAATTTGAGTATTTTCACTAACAACACACACACATACATACAGCTGTTGCGCTGTGTGTGCGTGTCTCACTTGCGAACCTGTGAAATGACGAGAGAACTCTGAGCCGAGAACTGAGAACTTCAGGCACAACAAAATTTTAATTTATGCCGCGTTGAGTGTGTTATGCCCCAGTTCCTGACAAGGAGCAGATATGAGCTAGCTCCCATATGCATGGCTAGATACGTACTAGCATGTGTGCCACTGTGTGTGTGTGGCTGACTGAGTGTGTGTATATTGCCGTTATAAGTCAAACCTCAAATCGGCACTTCTGGCGCGCGCTCTATAGCTCATTTTGTTGTCGCTCGCTCGTCGCTGATTGTTGCCTCCTGCCTGCCGCCTCCTGCCTTCTCCTTGGTGCCTGTTGTTGTTTCCCCGGCACAACAAAATGTTGGATTTTCCCTAGACACGCGATATTTGCCGTTACACCCGATACAGGCATAGCGGAATGGGAGTGGGGAGGGGCGAGAGTATAGAGTATGGGATTCGATGTGGCAGCCGCGAATATGTACAAATTATAATTCATATTACATATTTGATGAAACACATTCAATCATTCACCTGCGGCTAGTCGTAGGCCAGGGGTCGCTCTGGGGTCGCCGCTGCGGGTCCTTCCCAATAATTACGCATTTGCTGCCGTGCGGCTAGTTTTAATGATAAATGACCTATGCCAAAGTGTTGGGTAATTTTTCGGAGCTTATATCAGAAAGTTTAACTTAAGGGCTGTTTATTTGCTAGATGGCGCCTTTGTGCGTGTGGGCGTGGCACTAATGTTATGTCAAAAATGCTTGACTATGGCCCCAGCCAGCGCATGCATATGGGCATAGAATATATATGTATATTGTTATATGTATGTATGTATATGCATATATTTATGACACGATAACAACGTCGTAGGCTCAAGCAATTTGTCATTTGTCAAAAACTTACTGCAGTTACATAATAATTAACCCACCTGCTTATTTACATGTGAATGTGGGTGTGTCCATATGTGCGTATGTATGTTTATACATAAACAAAAACACCCACACACACACATGCATTATCTTGAGAAACTGTCTGTTTCTTTGCTCTAGCTGGGCACTCAGGAGATTAAATAGCTGGCTTACCGGCAGGCAGCTCTGCCGCTCTCACACAACTTCAGCTGTGTCATGTGGGACTAATTGCGCACTGATACAGTTTATTAAAGTTTATTGAGACTTTTTCTGGGCTCTGCGTGCCGCAGCCAAGGTCATTCTAAGAATAATGAATAGATATAACTATTGGAATTCCATTTTTTCAACATATTTTTCGTTTTTTGTTATGTAAATACAACTTAATTAAGAGAAAAATATACGATAATATGCGATTTCCCATATCAATTAGCATATTTCAATCTGAAGTGCTTTAAGCCCCAGTTCGGATGGCTCCTTGCAAGTGGCATGAGAATAAAAAATGAAACGCTTTGAATGTCAGGCAAAATATGATCGCACGATATTCCCTGGTGGAGGAAGGCTTTGGTTGGCTGTCCTCTGCAGTTGCTAAACTAAAACTGTTCGGCTTTGTGAAACGTATAAATTTTCTATTGATTTATGCCAAGTTCGCATGCCATTTTTTCCGTTTTGCATAATTTCAGCTGCTGGCCAAATTGCAGCAAGCACACAAGGCCAGGATATGGCAGGACAGATACGACTCGACTCGACTGACGGGACGGACGGACGTAGAGACTGACTAACAGAGTGACTGACTGAATTGCAGGCTCACACCAAAAGGGAACTTCAACTAACACAAACACAATTGTTGCGACAGTCTCTTCGCGGTTGCCCTCATACCCCATCCCCCATGCCTCATACCCCATGCCCCATACCGAATGCCACTTACTCGCACCCGAAAAACCGAATTGC